GAGAACACACGTTCTCTTGGTGGGACATGAGTGGACAGGCCAAGTGGGCTTCGATACACGTCTGGAGCTCAGCAGAGAGGGAGACACTAATCGGGAGTATCGGTTTGGTGGTGGTCACTGGTGAGGAAGAGATTGCCTAGGAGACAGCATATAGTGAGAAATAAAGACGGCCCAGAACTGGGCTTGCAAAGCCTCAGCCGTTCATTGCCATGTGAAGGAGCATTTGACTAAAAATGAAACGAAGGAGAGGGAAAGAGAACCAGGAAGTATAGAATCATGGAGCTCAAGGATTAAACACTTCAACAGAGAGGTGAATACATGTGGACTCTAACTGTCCACAAGACTTAGGAAAATAGAGACCCGTGGTGATCTCGGCCAGAGCTGTTTTGGTGGCATCCGGGGGCAGTATCCAGAGTGGAACAGGTGGAGCAGGCAGTGGGAGGTGGAGCTTGAGACAGCGGCGGGAAGGTCTGAGACTCTGGCTTGAGGGCAGGAAGGAGGGGATGCTGACGAGGCACTGACAGAGGATTTCATAAAGTGGGAGAAACTAAAGCATCTTAAATGTTGCTGGAAAGGGCCCAGCTGTAAGAGAGAGAATGAATATTATAAAAGAGAGAAAAGAAATATAAATAAAGGTTCCTGAGAAAGAAGCGTTCTATTCAGACACAATTCATCTTCCAGAATTTCATAAATATTATTATATACATTATATCAGACTGTGGAAATTCACTTGTAATCCTAATTTTCTAATACAGGTTATCATCTATTTTATGAAATATCTTTTCTCCATTTGAGACAATTTATATTCTCACCTTTGAATGCAATGAGTTACATTAATACTTTCTGACTTCAAACCGCTACTGCATTCCCTAGATAAATCACATTCAGTTACGAGATACATCACATACACCACTGAATTCCATTTACCAGTATTCTGTAGCCATGTTCATACATGAGGTTGTCCTCTACTTGTCTTCTCCTCTGCTGTTGGACAAGTTTTTGTGCCAAGGTTATACTGATGTCATAAGTGAGACGGATAGAATATTTTTGTTTATTTTCTGAAACAGTTTGAATTATACAGACTTTATCTCCTTTAGTACCTTTCATTTGTAAAACCATCTGGGTCTGCTGTTTTGGGATGGGATAATGGTAGGGGTATACTTGTGGTGACATTTCACTGTTGCTTTATTTTCTAGAGTGTTTATTGTTTTCTTGAGGCATTCTTGATTATTGTTTACTAATATCATCCATTTCGTCTGTTTTCTAAAATTTTGTATAAAGTTTTTACAGTATTCTTATAACATTTTATTTGTCTGTAGATATGCTTCCTTTTCTAATACTGCATATTTATGCACTCTTTGTAGATTTTTGCTGATTTCATCCTTAAATATCTTGTATGATTGTAAAAATCAGGAAAATGAAGATTAAGAAAGCAAAGCAGCTTGGATAAGATGGAACCTCTAATTGGTGGTGGAACCAGGTCTCCTGACGCCCAGTCTAGGGAACTTGGATGTGCTGCCTTGCTCTAGCTTATGACTATAATTCACACCAACTTATGCTAAGGCAAAGTCTTCACATGATTATGTTTGGGCAGAACCAATGACTCACAGACCATCATGGCACCCTACAGAGGGTTTACCCAAAGCCACGCTCCCAGTGCTACACGAACCCCACCACGAGCTACATCGCCACAATTTGGTAACAGATGTAATTCACCAACACAAAACCATACCCATGGACATAAATGGAATGGAAAATATGGTGTAAATAACGTTGCCTTCATTTGAAAGAAGGTTTCTAGATGTGCTTTGTAACCAGTGAATTTTGCTAGATTTAAGATGTTCGTTTAACTCAGTGGACCCCGTTTTTCCTTACAACATCTTAATGTAAAGAAAAAAACGGGATGCATTCACTGATGAGGTGGTGAAATGTCTCCTTTGTGATGACAAGCAGTACCAAATAATTAAGAAAAATGCTTCCTGCTTTCAGTAATTTGAAACCCTTTCCAGTAGGTGACGTTTATCTATTAAAGTTCTCAATAGGAATTCTCACTGTGAGAAATGACAGTGCTATTTATTTAGCCCAAATGGAAGATATCCATAAAATTCTCTTTTCTCCTAATCTCCTGCATTCAATTTGACAATAATGTTTATAAATGTAAATGGCATCTGCTCTACAGATCTTGACAGACTAGTTCAATCCTAAACATAGTAATACTCTTAGAAGTTGGATTGCCCAAAGATAGCCACGTAATTACCTAGTCCACTCAACATGTCCAAAATTGAATTAATTTGTGCCCATGCAAAATGACCACAGACCTTTTGTTTGTGCTCCTGTAGTAGAGATTGCCGGCTGTCTGTCCAGTATCTGTCTGGTTCTTCTTCCGTAGAATCAAAACCTTCATTTCATTTTAGAGTGGTCAGAGCCCAGCTAAAGACTGCATTGCCCAAACCTTCTTGTAGCTAGTTATGGCCATGTGAGTATTTCTGGATGACACAATATAAGCCTAAGTACGTGGGTTAGACTGCCAGGAAAGCTCTTTAAACAGGGGTCATTTATCACCTAAGTCCAATTTCTCTTTCTCTCTCTCTCCTTTTTTTTTTTTTTTTTTTTTTCTGCTTTGAATATTGTGATAGCTAGAGCTCTATCTAGCAGCCACCTTAGAATGTAAGGGGGATTCTAAAGATGAGAAAACTGGATTCTTGAATTCATGGAAATTCAGCAACCCCCAAAGTAACAGGCAAAACACATGCTCATTAAATATTGTCAATTTGCTCTGATATTCTCTTACCCTTACATGTCATTTTCCCCATTCTCCATCTGTAAAGGCCAACCCGAGCGGTAACTATCCTACAAAGTCCCTTCCCACACCATTGGTTAAGGTGAATCACTCTGGCCCCGTTAGCAGGGGAGGGAGTACTCAGTGTCTGTTGGTCTCACCTTGACTTCACCTGCGTGTGTGCTCCTCAAGGACAAAGATCACGGTTCTTTCATCTGTTAGTCCACCAACCCCATTTACAGCACCCACCGTCTACTTGTGTACGTATAACGGGCTCAATAAATTTTAGTTGAAGGAACTAAATAACTTTTAGTTGAGGTGTGTGTGCATGTGTATGTGCATATGTATAAAAAGGCTTTGAATTATTCAAGTGTGTGAAACTAAGTTGTAACATACCATAAATAAAAGTTCACTGAGCTATAGCCCAAAGCAAAAGCCAAAGAAGAAATATGGTCAAACCAGTCTGAAAATCCAAAATGCCTATGACCCTTATTTGGGTAAGAAAATTTATAATTAAGCTAGTATTCACATCATTCTCTTGAACCCTACCAGTGTGCATGTAGGTGTGTATTGTGTGTGTGTTTTGTCAGACGTTTTGCGGTGGTTATGTTGAACTATTTACCAGTTTAGTACCCATTAAACAAAGCTAACAATAACCTTAAGCAACCTAGTCTTTACTATTTTAATTACATACTTCTTGTCTGCTTTTTACAATTTTGATTTTGCATGAGGGTTTTAATACATCATCTGTTTAAATATATGGGTAAAGATAAACTATATAATAAATGCTAGATTACTGGAACTGGAATAATCACTGTTATCTCTGTATTGTAAAATACTCTACTCAGAATGATTTCAAGGGAAGGTAGTTTGTTTAAAAATCTCAGTTGCATGACCTTAAACCCAAAGGTGTTAGGACAAATGTTTAACTTCAAAGGCATAAAATATCTGCATGACTTATAAATGCAATGACATTTTCAACATTAACATAAGATTTGACCTTTTGTGTCCAGTCTTCTGGGATGTGGTGTTTTAGCATGTCAGGTTTATTTTTCTTCTTGTTTATTGTTCAAAGACATACCTTGAAGCAAAACTTCAAGAATAAAGCAGTTCAAAGACCAGAAAAGAACCCCTAAGAGCAGAACATAACAGGGTAAAACTCAATTAAATTTTAACCTTTCAAACTTTCAAAGATCTGGAGTAGTTTCATTTCCTCCTTACCTAAATTAAATTGGATCCCTACAGACACAAATAAAGATGCAAGGGAGTATATTGGCAAAAACACAATTACATTCGAGAATCAGGTTAAATTAAAGCACATATCGTTTATTATCTGCAGTATAAACATGTTTGTGTTGCAAAAAATTGGTATTTATTGATTCAACAATAAGAAAAAAGATTACATCCTCCATTTTCACAATGAAATTTTATAAAAATTGAAGAAAAAAATCATATACCCCTAAACTAACTTCTTCAAGAGAGTGTAACTTATGTGATATGTAGGAATCAAAATTAGTCACATCGAAGTGATCCTTGATCGGCTTAATCCTTACCATTTAAAAACATCTTGATATGGAATGATATTCAGGAAAGACAGAGTTAGTGAAACCTTATTTTGGTAAAGAAATGTCACAAGAAAGTGTTTTCGTTTGATCACAACCTATATTTTACTAACTAGAGGATGCAAAATATCAGGTTTATATAGCTTTTGGGAGCCATATCTCAGCACTTTATATCTGACAATACTTTGAGGACAACAATTCTGAGAATAGCATTTTTAGAAATTTTTAAAAAATATTTGAAAATTAATGTTTAGTTACTACATACTTTGCTGAATTTGTTTGTATAAGTTAGGAAAGTTTTTTTCTTAACCTTGGAGTGCCTCAGTTTCCTTAAAAGTAAATGTTTGGAGTGGATAATCTGTGACAACCTTTCCTGCTGCACAGTGTCTCATTTGGATTCTGTCAATTCAATCATGCCTTGGTCATGAAGAAGCTGGCACTCACCTGGCTTGTCCAAGAGAGTAAATGTGTTGGAGGAACTCCCCAAAAGTCTACAGAAAAGATTGACCTTCCAGGATGCTGGTTCTTAATTAACAAAGTTTCAAAATAGAAAATTATGAAAAAAATGCAACTTGACTGCCTGGAGCATATCTTCCAGTGCCTCTGCTGTGTGCATGCATTTCTGATCCTTCAGTATTAATTGTTGTGAAAGAGAAGGTGTCATTCCTCATGAAATTTCTTCTCTAGTGCTTATATGGGTAGGTGATGTGGGTGATGACAGTCAGCGGACGGATTGAGAGTAGATTGTGGAGTGTGCTGCAGCTCAGTAGCAAAATTAATAAATACCTGAAAGCAGTAATGAAAATAGTTGGTAACTTACAAAAACTCTCAACTCTTCGTTTTGTCTCCACTATTAGCAGAGGAGACATTCTCTCAGAATACTGCCCACCTTGTCCTAAAAGCCACAGTCATTCATTTACCACCTTCCCCTAAATCACCGTAATCATGCAAATCCACTGAGGACACAACACCAGGAATGATAAATATTTCTGGACAATTAATAAATCACCTGGAAATTCTCAAAACCTTATGTATGGTTTTAGAAAGAAATTGTGATATATTTTACATTTCTGTACTCACAGTAAACCAAGCGCATTTTGTTTCCCCCTGAGTTTGCTACCACTGCATTAAAGTGGGGTCCCCTTAGTTTCTTGGGGGCTGGGTAAAGTGGAGAAGGGAAGGTTAATGGGACATGCTTGAACTTACTGAGTGCTCAATCATAAACAAATTGAAGCCCCACTGAATATGTACTTTTAGTAAACAACATAAAATAAACCAACCCTACCACTCACCATCCTTATCAGAATTTTGTAAAACTGAGCAAGATTAACTAAGAGCAATGGTGAGCTGAAGAAGTAATCTGGCTAATTTTTAAATTGGCTGGGATAGGCCTGATGAGTGTATCAAAATGCAACCTGCTGAATCGTTCAAGGTACTATACCTGCTCCAAAGTGGTTTGGTTAATGGAGTAATGCTTGATATTCAAGAAGGTCTTATTATTTTCTAGAACTTTGAACAGGTCGGCTAAGCATCCCCACCTTTTTGGCACATGATATTCTAATAAATTAAGGCGCTGTCCCTAAAAGCCAAACAATAAAAAGTGTCACATGATTAGCAATCATTAAACAAAATTGATCATACTACATTTAATTACCAAATAAATTTTCCAGCCACACACATAAATACCAACTAGGGATACAGGTTAATTTTGTGAGTCTCCAATAAACCCTTATTGGTGACAATTTACCATAAAGCACATTTGATAAGTGGCATTCACCTGGTTGAATTGCTGCTCTGCCCACTGCTATGCCCCCACCTTGCCACAAGCATGGGGAAGACCTCTTTAAGGGGTCAGAAGATGCCTACAGACATTCAAGAAGGAGGAAGTTAATGTGGCTTAGCAGAGGTGGATGGAGGTGCCCTGAACTTCACTCTGGGACTTGGGCTTAGCTCTCAGGTGTCCTCTCACCATTAGCTGAGAAGATCTTGGTAAGATATTTAACTGTTCTGATCCTTGTTTACATGTGTGCCAATGGGGACAATTATACCTGTTTCATAGGGTCGTTTAGAGTCATACTCAAGCAAGAACAATAGAGTCCTGCACAGCATGCTTCTTCTGTGGTAGAATTTCAATAAATGGTCATTGTTTAAATAAACAGGGAACAGCTACTCTGTGGACTACAACCTGTTAGAAGTTATGATAAACTAGCATCACACAGTTATCCAAAAGAATTATAGACAGTGATTCTCAAACTTTAACGTGCATAGGAATCATCTGATCATCTTGCTAAGATGCAGATTCAGATTCAGTAGGTTGGGGCCTGAGATTCTGCAAGGCTAACCAGGTTCTGGGTGATAAAGATACTGTTGGTTCGGGGACCACACCAGATTAGGTTTGTAGAGGGTTATGATCCCAAGCATAGGGCTCTTCTTGTGAGATAATGCTGAAGTCACCAAGCCTCTAACCCCCAGCAAACATAGGGAAGAAGTTAACTTTTGCCATCTTCCATCCTGAACACAATGAGCTATGCAATGGAGCTGTGCCCACAGAAGGGTGATTCATAACCACCGTCTGCCCTGGGCAGTCCACCAAGCAGCCAGGCAGGCTTGTCATCCTGCAGAATGACCAAGCAATATCAGCTATCCATGCTGGTTTTAGTCAGGAGGTATGGCCTCTACTTTGCAATGAAACTAAGACAGCTGGCAGTATCTTATGGCAGCACAGAATAAAACAGTAAAAAGACAAATACATTTATAAGATTATTTTTTCGCTGAAAACAAAGAAGTAATGCAGAATATCAGTACTACCTTAAATTGGATTCCTGGAAAATGGAGCTTCAAGCAGTCAGAAATAGCGCTGTGCTGATTTGTTCCTTTATAGAGCCAAATCTTGACCGTATAACCATCACCAAACCTGAGTGTTGAAAGAAATGCAAATGTGGTTACTCTTATACTGACCCCTATGATGGGTAAATTCTAAGTTCATTTTCACATAGAGACAAAAAACAGTAACTATTTCAAACAGTTGGGAGATTTCTGGATTCTCAAAAACATAATGCACAGAAATTAATTGTAAATCAATTATGCAGTTTTCTGTCATTCAATTTATATCAGGACAGACACTGATTTATCTTAAAAATAATAAAAAAAGATAATCAGCAAGTCCTGAAATCAACACCTAGTCAGTGAAAGAGGGAAGATAAAAACGCCAACTGTGGAAGCAAAGTGCTG